CACACACACACACACACACACACACACACACACACACACACATACCAGGAAGGTCTCTAACGAGGTCTTCATGTCTAGTCTGGGCGAAACCAGCGTGTTTAGAATTTCACTCGGCAATCCGCGCAAAACCTAATAATAGCTTGTTAAGAGAATGCTGCTGCGAGAGGGGTGACTTGTATACTGGCTGCGAACGATGTTACAAACTAGGACTGTCGAGAGATTTTGATATCTAACATCAATTTTGATATCAATAGCTGTGCTAATGGCATATGGGACGTACATCACTCAAGGATAGCGGCCAAGGGATACTTTTGGCTATATGTGATCACGTAATGAGTGATATATCCAAGAATATGTTTTATATTTGTAATCTTTCAAATAACGATGCACGTGGAAGATGATTACATGACATGAGCGTAACACTGAACTATGCTCTGATTAGCACGCAGTATAAATAATATAATATGCCAGTTTGTGCTGAAATACATCGCCATATCGTTTCTCCTCATTCTTGCATCATGAAAAGAAGCAGTGCAGATGGCAGGGTAATGCTCTAGCATCCCTAGTGGGAATCCCTAATGGATGCTGCGGGTTTTTTTTCTTTTTTATGTTCGCCCGAAGTTAACTGAAACTCCTTGTTCCGTTGATTAATGCTTGGTGTACAGCGGAGTAAAATACGTCAGGCACCCGGGAACGTGACCTCGAACATCCTTCATCCGTGGGGTCTTATATATCTATCACCTCGCCGTCCGTAACACGACAGTGGTTTAGTAGCTAGCGAGTCCGTAACGTGACAGTGGGTTAGTAGTTAGCGGTTTCTGTCGGCACCAGTGGAGCGAGGACGATACGAGACGATGCACATGGACGAGACGCATGCACATTCAATACTCGATTTAACATCGCACGTTAAATATTTAACGTGGAATGCATAGAGTGTGTTTGCGTCATAATCTCATTGGTGCGGGGTCGGCGCGGTTGAATATATATCAGGAGTAGATAATAGGGAAGGAGTGTGACTTCAATAAACAAGGGAAATTCGTTATTTACAGCCGGATTGCGGGTGTATACGAGGAAACGATGCTAGGCGAATGTACTGTGTACGATTTGAGCTCAAGTTGGTTGAGTTACGCTTAGTAAATCGTAGGTATTACAAGGCTAGTAAATGACGAATTTCCCTTGTTTATTGAAGTCACACTCTTTCCCTATTAATAGTATTATCTACTCCTGATATATATCACACGTACTACCGCGCTACAGCAGGCAACGCAGCAGAGATGCACATGCGTGTGATGCTGCTGCAGACCCGAAGGGGGGATGCGGCGGCAGTGGGAGGGGGGGGGGAATTGTTGGTGTGGAGATGTGCTGAGTAAATGCCTTCGTGTATTAAAATATTGATGCGCAGTGGTGCATTCATCAGCTATTGTATCTACGAGTGCTATAGCTCACCCTGGTTTGGAGTAAATTGAGTGTTCATGGACTCGGTAATCCATACGTGGTTTGGTAGTTTGATACTGTAATTACCAAACATGCGTATCATCCTCAGATTGTAGTTATAGTGGGTGTCACTGTGTATTAGGAGTTGTAGTCGCCGTGTGGATCGAGTGTCTGATTGTTGTGTTCTATGTTTGCAGACGAAAGAGATGCAATACAGAAGAAAACATTCACGAAATGGGTGAACAAGCATCTCGCAAAGGTACGTAAGGTCACACGAACATGCTTTCCTTCCTTATCGAATCTTGTGTGTCTCTCTCTCTCTTTCTCTCTCTCATTCTCTCTCTCTCTCTCTCTCTCTCTCTCTCTCTCTCTCTCTCTCTCTCTCTCTCTCTCTCTCTCTCTCTTTCTCTCCCTCTCTCTCGTCTCTCTCTCATCCTCCTCGTCTGC